AAAATAAAATAGAAATTTAAATTTTTTTTTTAAATAAATTCCATTTAATTTTAGTTTATAAAATGCCGCGTACTTGTAAGAATTCTACAGACTAGTGTCAAGTGACAAAATTTTTCTGCCACCACTTCATATAAAGTTGGGACTCGTGAAAAACTGTGAAAGCTATGAACAAGGATGGTGCAGGCTTTCAATATCTCAAAATAAAATTTCCTCGAATCAGTGACGCGAAATTGAAAGAAGGGATTTTTGTAGGTCCGCAAATACGAGAACTTATGACGGATGCAGTATTCAATTCGACGTAGAATAAAGCTGAAAAAAAAGCTTGAGTGGCTTTCGTGTGTCATAATTTTCTTGGTAATACAAAAGCTAACAACTACCGAGAAATCATTCGAGAGCTTCTTTCTGTTTATAAAGATTTAAGATGCAATATGTCACTCAAAATTCATTTTTTTGGACTCGCATTTAGATTTCTTTCCGGAAAATCTCGGTAACGTATTAGATGAGCATGATTAAAGGTTTCATCAGGATATTATGTATATTGAAAGACGCTACAATGGAAATTGGTCAGAAGCAACGCTTGCTGATTTTTGTTGGTCGATTCGCTGAGAAACTTCGATGGAAACGATGAAAAGAAAAAAAAATACAAAATAACTTGAATTATACTACCATAATGAGATAAATATATTAGCATTTTTCGCTTTAAAACTGTAGTCTTTTTTACTTTCTTTTAATTGTTGTTACTTTGATAATATCGTTTTTTAATTAAATAGGCATTATATAGGGTTGTTCGGAAAGTCATTTCGTTTTTTGTTGTGGAAATGAAAGACAGTTTTCGTATAATAAACAAATACTTTATTAAATTATATATTGACCGTTCTGGTCCAACACCTTTTGCCATCTTTCTGGTAGTAGCATAATTCCACGCTCATAAAATTTTTGGTCTTTGCTGGCAAAAAACTGATCGAGGAGGTTTTTGACCTCCTCATTTGAGGTGAAGGTTTTACCGTCTAAAAAATTTTGGAGTGACCGGAACAAATAATAATCCGATGGTGCCAGGTCTGGAGAATATGGTGGGTGTAGCATTGTATCCCATTCAAGCTGTAAAAGCTTTTGGCGAGTGACCAAACTTGTGTGAGGTCTCGCGTTGTCTTGGTGAAACACTACACCTTTCCTGTTGATTAGTTCTGACCTTTTCTGTTGAAGTGCATCATTCAGTTTGTCCAGCTGATGACAGTAGACTTCCGAATTAATCGTTGTGTTATCCGGTAAAAGCTAAAAAAAAACGATTCCTTTAAAATCCCACCAAACAGACAGCATCACCTTTTTTTGGTGAATATCGGCTTTGGAAATGGTTTGAGCCGGTTCATCTTTTTTGCTCCATGACCTCTTGCGTTTGACGTTGTTGTATACAACCCATTTTTCGTCCCCAGTGATGATGCGCTTCAAAAACGGATCATTTTCGTGACGTTTGAGAAGCGAATCGCAGACGTCAATGCGGCGACACAGATTTCTCTCTGTGAGAACATGGGGAACCCATACATCGAGCTTCGAGGATAATCCCAGGCCTTTCAAGTGGTCATAAACTGTTGAATTTGATAAATTTAACCTCAATCCGATCTCACGTGTTGTTATTCGCCGGTTCACATCAACTAATGCCTTTATCGCGTCTTTATCAGCTTCAACCGGCCTTCCCGAACGTGGTGCATCTTCGACATCAAAATTGCCGGATCGAAATTTAGCGAACCAGTTCTGGCACTGGCGTACTGTCAACACACCTTCTCCATACACATCAGTCAATTTCTTTCTGGCTTGAACAGCATTTTTACCCTTTCTGTAGTAAAACAGTAAGATATGTCGAAAATGCTGCTTATCGCTCTCCATATTTAAAAGGGCACCAACCAAAAACTACTGCGTAGAATTAATTGGAATTTTTCACACACAAGCCTTGCTATATGAGCTCTCAAAGCATATAAAAATTATGCGGCTTAAATGTGAAGTTGGGTGCAAAAGAATACAATTAAATCCTCTGTCGGGAAAAGCGAAATGACTTTCCGAACAACCCAATATTTAAAATCTACGTGCTATATTTATTTGTATGTTAAATTCCGTGTTTAGAGCACCAAATATAATGTTATCATGCATGAAAACAATGACGAGAGAAAAAAAAAATTTTTTGCAGAGCAGTGTTATCGGTTGCTGCTAACAGGCTAGCTTCTGAAGCCTGTTAAAATGACTCCTTTTAGACATATCCACGTGGGGTTACTCATGGAACGTGACGTGACTCGTAACGTTACACTTTTCGGTTTTATACTCTAGTAAATTTCCTTCCTACCGTCGATAAAAAGTTTTACTTCAATAAAAAATATATTTTGTATTTCTTTGTACTTCAATAAAACTAGTTCAAACGAATGCAAAACATGAAGTTTATGACCAGTAATTTATCAAAATTACCTGACGTGTGTCGCGATTTCGAATTTATTAGCTTTCATCAGCACGCCATAGGCAATTTTGATACTACCGCAAAAGCGACTTGGTATAATATCAAAGAATAGACAGTAGATATATCTGCATTTGTTGCTAGCTGCCGTATTTCAAATTGTTTGACAATATTTGGGATTAATCACATCCTTATGGAAAATATGTTAACTTACAGGTAGTGTACATTCATACTTACGTTAATTAGTCAATTTTCTTTGTTGCACCTTTCATGTCGGAAGTAAACAGTATTGCATGCAATTGTCATAACCAAGTTTGACGACAGATGATAAGGTTTATGAACCATTCAAATGATTGCACATTAAACCTAATGTTCAGACTTCATGTCTGTTTAGACTATCAGTCGTTGTGTAATTAAACTAATCTTAAACAAGAAAACCCACCTATAAAGTTTATGAACGCAATTCTGGAAAAGTGATGCTATAAAATTGAATTTTTACAAAAGTATTTTTCCATACAATTGAAAATATGGACAACATACATCGTTACATTATTTTATTTTTTAATAATTAAACTTTCGACAAAGCATTAGGCACCTCCCTATGTAGGGTAAGGTTGGGTAAATCGTACCGTAATATAAATCGTACCACCGTTACTTTTCATATTTAGGATGCATATTGTGCTATCTTGTGTTCAAACTTAAAACCTATTATTCAATA